TATTGTATTTCTAATTATTTTTTTACAGATCTGCTTTGATGGTTGAATTACTTGAATCCAAACATCTCGGCAAAGGTAATCTAGTGCACGATGTATACCTTGAGGAATCAGTGCCCGAAGCTTCATTTCTCTCGGAGACGGGAGTCTTCTCCGCAGTTGAGTTGTCGCCAACGGTGCATAAAGATKCAAGGAAGCAAGTAGTGAGAAGAACGCGTAAGAATTCTTACGAGTTCGAGATGAGCTACGAGGATTTACAATTACAGTGTCTTCAGTTCAGCGTCATGGCGTTTGATGAATATTCAAGACAAAAGGTTATAGGAGATGTTATTTTGCCAATGGCTGATCTCACCTCACAAGGCTTGGATGTTACGAGAGAATTGATCATGTGGAGAGAGATACAGACTATGGAAAAGGTAGACTCAGGTTATTTACAAAATATCAACAAGTATGTGCGCAAGCACGTAACACAAACGTGAGCTAGCGCATGCGAAGCGCAAGAAAAATGTCTTACCATTTTTCTGCCATCGTTGATGAAAATAATGCGTTTAGATCCGCGCTTATTGAGTTCAGATCTTGGCCAACTCACCGCTGCCGTCTAGCTTTGATGTATAGGCACGGAGTACCTTTCTAAATGGCACAAGGAACTGTCAAGGGGACTATACTAGTGGGTTGTATTAACCTGTTAGGTTCAACCGTCCTCCTATTAGTGGTCAATTCCATTAGATCTCGTTTTTACCAAATACTGACTGATAGAAGACACTATTGTTTCTTCCTCTGTGGCTTCATTTACGTTTTATAATCTAAAACTTACTATCTAGAGTTCTGAATGCGTTTTTAAACGAGAACCTTATATCTGACACTATTCGCATGAACGGCATCRAAAAACTGCATCTAATTATTGCTTTCTTGTTTTTACCACATTGTTTGCAGAAGGCATCTATGAGTRCTGAACAAAGAGACGAAAATCAAAATCTGATTGAGGCAAGAATAGATGAAATAGGTGACAAGCCGGCCCCATCAGAGAGTACATCACGCCGGTGCAGCCCTTCATGACGAGGTCTTCGTCTATGCAGTTCTTTTTCTTTCGGCTTTCTTCTTCTAGATAGTATCAATTTGCAATTGCTGWTACAGCAGAATTCTTGGCGAAGAATAGCTTGTGAACCCGGGAGTCACTCTCAAATAATACCAAATGGTCAAACTATAACTGATCCGGCTACAATCATAGCTCAGCTCGAAAGAAAATCTCTCGAGAAGAAGAAGTTTAATATGATTCTATAGTGGGTACAGTTGAATGTTTTGTTTTCTAACTTGAATGTTTTAGTTAATATCAAAATAAATAAAAGCAATTTTCACTAAAAGCAAAATACATGAAAGTTTAATAATATTGCAGTCTACGTTTGAAGATCCACACGCATATTTTTCCGGCATCATGCATATCCAAACATATTTTTGGCTGCTGCAGACGATCCTGTACTGAGCTAAAATTTAGTCGTTTTCGAATCTTCATCAGCTTAATTGTACAACTGGTGGTACAACATTGGAAAACTAAGCTCTTTACTTAATCAGTTCCATGAACTTTCTTCAAACTTGCCACACGCCTGWTGAGATGATCTTTTATAAACTTGCCAGTGTAGTGTCTAAGTTCGATCTGATCATGCAGACGATCAAATCTATACGTAGCACAGCAATACTGTATTTTCCCGAAGGCAGTGAACAAATGAAACTCCCAATGCGAAAGATCCTGAGATTAAGCCAAGTAAACCAAGAAGAAYTAGTAATTCCACCATCTCGACTCACACTAATGTCGCAGCTAGGTATAAAGATCATATGCATTTTAAGGTAGCACCTAGCTATGTTACTATAACAACGATTCTCACTACATGRATGTACAATAATCGCAGTTTTTTTCGGGTTTTTATGTGTTTATGGTCGGAAAAAGATCTTTCAGTTTAATTCGAACCAGACAGTTAATTCCTATTTTGTGCTGATACTGATTTATTCTATAAAAAATAGCGACTACCAGTTGAAATACAAGAGGCTAGAGGAAAATGTACAAAAAAGATGCATTGGCTACTGATTCCAGGCTTCTGTAGCTTAGCCTCCTGGTTTTAGGTTTCTGAAAGTCTCTCAAAATTCACGAATTAAGTACACGCAGTTGTCGGTAGTCACAGGATCAATAAGAAGTCTTCTACAAGTATTCTCATCCGATTCCCATCCGCTTCTCATCAGTAGCATGGAACGATATAACCGCTGTCTTTTTTTTTCAGTTTGTCTTTTGTAAAACCCACGATGATTTGATGACCTAAGTCGAATACCGTTAAACAAGCCTGTTTTCAGAGACTGTTCTTGGCAAACATGAGATGTTCATTGGTATTCTATAAATTTCTATGAAAGGATCACATTATATTGGGATCAGAGAAACAGCTACAAATCATCGGAAGCCACGCTTGAACAAAAACTGTCTGTATTCTATGTTTACGTTTCGAGTGACAGATTTGTAAATGCTAATATATGTCACAGATCGTCCACCAATCACAAGGCAGGGTTTTTAATAGAGTTGCTGGTAATGACGCGTTGTTTTATCAATCTTTCGYTCGGGCGATTTGTGTAATTTTTTACATTCTTTATCGTATGCTAAAAGTTGAAATAATGGGCAGTCTTGGCGGTTGTCAGGCGATTGGTTGAGGGGCCGTCATAGCATTCTGTAGCGCACATAACCTTATTTAAGTAGTTTCATTATMGAGAAAATATTGCTGAAATAATGACAATGTTACATTTTGGTACATGTTATGTCAGTTCTCTATTTTTATCACCCAGACTTCAATCTCATAACTATTTACTCCATAACTACCAGAACAGCGCACTTTAATTATGAAATAGCTACATTTTTGTCAAAATACGGGCGAAGAGAAAAATCCTACTGCTGGCGGGATATTAGTAGAGTTATATTGATGTATCAGCCGCTGGGATCACGACTTGGAAATGTGAGATGAAATTAGCTCTACTTACTTGACATGTTTTCTATGTTCTGCCGATCTATTTATACCATTGGATGTGTTATTAACACATCTCTACTTTCTTTCATAAACGACGATATATTGGCTGGTAAGCTCAAAAAACCTAGTTTGTTTATGTAGGTTAAATTTCTGAGAAAGCCAGTAGCCAYAAATATCTTCAGGGTTACCTGGGGTCTGCTTGCCACAATATTAGCTTTAACCATAACTCGTATGACCCTAGAATTTCGAGTACACGTCCACGCGATCCCGACTAATAATCGAGCGTACGAATTCTCGCACTGAATCGAATCAACTTCGGTTTTCCCTGCATCAAGGGAACTGATTTTGATCAAAAATGATCAATTCTTAAACCTTATCACTCACAACAGAAATTTACATGGCACACGAACGATGGGTTTCCCTTTAGCCTCRGATTCGATGTTAACTTGTCCAACTTTTCCGTAATTCATAGCTGTGACATTATTATTCAGAGAAGTTCCAAAGGGAGCAATATTTAAGTGCATTATACTAGGGGCTAACAGTGAGGTTTTCAGGGGCTGCGATAACGGGTTTTGATCGAGTGGTAATCCGTAGTCTAACTCGTGGCTCAAGCGAGTCAGTTTACTTTTGATTATTTCACGAGGCATTGTTTTACAATTCTGTGACGTCACGTACCACATGCGCTTTATGCTATCCTTCGCCCCGTTCTTTCCTCAATATCGTACCAAACAACCCTAAAAGAGAAAATTCTTCGCTTACTCCGACTTTCGTTGGCTTTTTTGACACTCCAAAGACACAACTAACCCCTGAAGGCGACATAAAGTCCTGTACTAGCACTGCACACGTGTTTGCAAGCATTTCCAGAGCTGTGTTTGCAGGTTTCCTGAATTTTCCGATAGTCAAAARTTCCCTCGAAAACGCCATCCAAAATGGCTGGTTTAGTCTTTCTCTCGATAGTGCCAAATGACATGCAGTAGACGGGAAAGGCAAGAGGGGAAAGCTTGTGTTTGAAGTAGGAACAGCTTTTGCCGGTAAGAAAATAATTTAAAAAGAAATACCTGGTTTCCTATCCTCKAAGAATAGTTTGTAACTTTCCTTTCTCGACTTCGTTCAAAGTTTAAACGTTAAATCGGGGCGTGGAAAGACTCGTTGAAATAGATCCTAAATTCCTGTCCTTCCTCGTTTATTTTTCTTTCTATCTACTGCTCATCATGTGCAGTAATGATATAGACGGTAGTTGTAAATAAACATGTTTTTAAACTGTGCATAACGCGTCCTTTTAGTCGCCATCTCTAGTTTGCGATTTACACGCATGGCGCAGTCATTACCATCATCTCTATTCAAGCTATTGTTCTGACATCGCATTTTTGATCTTTAGGCATTGCTTCGGGTTAGTTCGGTCGCTTTGTTCGACCATGGATCGGCGTGATGTCCCCAGCCAAAGTCCCGTTAACACACACAGCTTCTTTGATGGTACTCCTGGTGAGTTGAGTTGAGTTTTTAGYTCGTCCATTCAGTAACTGGACCAGCTATACCGTTTTTAATGTTAACTCATTATAAACTCATGTTCAAGTAGCTGTAGTTGTTTTACGTTCATCGTCATCAGTTTTCTTCTTATTCTCATTTAATTAACTTATATCGAAAGGCTTTTCTCACAGACGTTTTGGACGACCTAAATATCAATCATCTCATAACAATCGATATTTTTCATCGTTTTAAGACATGTTCTTTTTRCAATTTTTTCTAGGTCACCCAAATCCTGCACTTCGTTCACCAGCTTTGTCTCATGAACGTTCTTATGGAATGCATGCTTTACCAAGTGCATTCTCTATGATGGGTAGAAGACCAACTTTATCTCATTCAAGTCCAGATTTCCTCTCTCAGGATCCAATGCTTGGCTCCCAACCTAGTTTATCTCCTTCAAGTCATTTACATACTGGCCTAGGAGGTGCTACGGGAACTCCTGGGTGGCCTTGGATGCCTCCACATCCACATATCACGAGCCCAGATTATTTCACTAGTCATCTTTCTAGTGGTTGGTTGCAGGGACATGATCATGAACGCTCTCGTGAACGTATTGATGATTGCTTGTTTACAAGCCCAAGACCTCATGGAACTCTGATAAATGGTGCTAGTAGTGCTGGTGTTTTTAGTGCTGGTTCTGGGATATTCTATCCACCTCTCACCAATTCTACCCCTCCAGTTCACAGTTTTACGCAACATAGTTCAAGCTGGGGTAACCATAACAACCACACACCAAGAGGCTCATTTGATCATGGAGATAATCATGATACAGATATATTTTCTTTGCCTATGAGGACTAGACATCCTAGCCTATCTCATAGTGATGACTGTTTGAGTAATAAGAACTCAATTAACAAGCATAGTGAAATGGGAAGTTATGCTCCAGACAGAGATCATAGAATTGAGAAAGAAAGTGAGAAATTATATGATAGGTCAGTTGTAGATGCAACAGGTGTTACTCATGGTTCTCTTTACCAGGATAAGACACACTCACTGCAAAATGCTCCAACAGTTGCCAAAAGTAACAAAWGCAAGACTCCTCCAATTGCAAAACCAAGTAAAGAAGTGAAATATCAAGATACGAAGCAGAAGGAACCAAAAGTTGATGAATCAAAAAGTATTTCTGGAATTCAAATTTCCCAATCAAAATTAAATCTACAAGAAGGTATTTTAGTAAAAACACAATCAGATCTAGAAGTGCCAGTGGTATCTCTACCTTCCACCTCACCTGAAAATAAAAGTTTACCTCCCCCTCCTAAGTTAACGAAGAGCAAGGCTCCACCTCCTCCAAGACTTCAAGTTCCCAAGTCAATTCTCAATGAACGAGAAGGTATTATTCCAAAAATTCCTTCAAAAAGTCCTGAAAGTTCCAAACAAAATTTTAGTGTGCCTTCACAGAAACCAGTGAATAGTAGTACTGTTAAAGCASCTCCAGTGGCTTTGAACAACAAGCCTTCATTGCTAAATTCCAATGARTCACTAAAAACAAAAATAGATTCTAAACTCAGTGCAACTAAAGAAGCATTAAAACAGAAGTTGAAAGAAAAGCCATCTGGTCCTCAACAAACAGCCAAACTACCAGACCCTAAGAGTCTGCTACCCCAGGCAGCYGCTGTCAAGCCTTCAGAGCCAGTCATATCAAGCTGGGCTACCAGTACCACAACAAAAAGCAGTATTAGTTCTTCCTCAAAGCCCTCTGCAGCTCCAACCCCTAAAATTCCTTCTGGTAAACCTTTGCACATGGCCAGATTCAGGCTGCCATATAATAACGAGGATACAAGCGACGAAGAAAGTGACAGTAGTGATGTGAGCAGTGGAAGTGAGGCGGAGAGTGAAGAAGAAGAGGAGGAAGGTGAAGGAAAGGAAGATGAGGAAAGTGGCAGTGGAAGTGATAGTGAAAGTGATAGTGATGGTGATGGTAGTGACAATGAGGAGGATGAAGAGGAAGGTGGTGGTGATGATGAAGAAGAGGCTGATGAAGAAGAAGAAGAAGATGATGATGATGAGAATTCTGGAATTTTGTGCAGTCAAGAAGAAGAAAGCTTTAGTGTGCCATTACATGGTAAACGAAAGATACCATCAACTCAAGACACAGGTAACACACATTATATTATATATACTATACTATATACTATACTCTTATAATTTACCTTTTCATCATTACTCTTGTATATAATATTTCAAACAAAAAAGGGTAGTGAAGGTTTTGTTGCATTTGCAGTATGGGTGACGTGATTACAATCAGTGAGAGGTCAGAATGATATGTCCCAAAATACATTTCAAGCTTAGTAAGCAACATGCAAGTTAACAAGAGAGCCTGATACTCAGATTACATGTAACATGCTACAAAACCTTTACCAACCTTTATGTAGTGTTTAATAAACGAGCAGGAGTGTTTTATCTGGTCTAAAACCACGAGGCGTAGGCAAGTGGTTTTAGACCCKATAAAACACGATCTGCGAGTTTATTAAACGGCTTCAAAAACTTTAAGTATAATTCACAAACCTTTCAGTTAAAGTAGAGCCGCCATATACCTCGCAAACATTGAATTTTATACTTTGATAGTCGTTTGTACAGCAATTTCATGCGCAGTGAGGTTTGTACGTCACTGCCATGCACAGTAAGTGCAAAAAAGGCTTCCACAAGTTGAAGACAACATGCCGAACTCAAGACAGAGGCACTATTTAGTCGACGATAATTTATGGGTCGTYGATGATTGTACGTGAGACTGACCTTGATGAGGCTTTAAGTCTTCATCTAAACTTGGATGCACCTTTATTCTGATAAGGTTGTCCACATTAGTATTCTTTATATAAAGAATACTAATTAGGATGAGTCTTTATATGAAGTTTCATCCTCATTAGTATTCTTTATATAAAGAATGCTGATGAAGAGGACTTTATCAGGTATAAAGGTCCATGCACGTGACGTGTATGGTGGCTGCAATTAGACCAAAGGCTAATGAATTATTCAGGAGTTTTTGAAATATCTGTATATGTTTAGTGCAATTTTTTCTCAACAATAACAAATGAAAAATGTTTTCTGACAAAGTTTGAAATAAGCCTATGTTTCATCATTCATTCATGATAAAGCCAGCAATGCTCCATTTACTTCTGACTGTCTAGACTGTCATTTTTTCCTCATGTTTATTTTGCTTTGCATGCTGTAATTCGAATGGATTTGCTGAAACCAGAGTGTATTTCAATTTCCAATCCTCAATTCAATTCAATTCAGTATCACATCGGATGTCTGTTTACAGTTCAATACTAGCATTCGGTAAAAATTAATATACTCGTGCAAAAATATATAAATCTGATTTGATAGTATTAATAGTGTTTAATGAAAGACATAAATCATCTTGCTGTTGAAATTCATTCTATTCAAAAGATGATTAAAAGGCCAATATGTATCTAGAAACTAAAATTAATAAAATAATAAAATTAATGTGCAAATTTGAAGAAGAGGATTTTTCAGTGTAAAGATATTGTTTTAAAATGATTTATTTCAATATATTCATTTTGTTACCATGGTATTTATTTACCAGCTTTAGTATGTCTAGTTTGTATAGAGGTTGAATTTCAAGAAGGCCTCCAGATATAATTTTAGATCAGGAAAGATTTGACTCTTTTAGCATTATGTAGGATATTTTTGTTTAAATGAAATAGAAAACATACACTTTATGCATTTATATATTTAATTTAATTTACAGCTTTTATGACGCATTTCGCTACGCCTCAATGCGTTTACAATGTGTATCACAAATAAACTATAATTAAGACGTAATAATTATAATATATATATATAGATAACTAGACTAAAATGTTATAATAATGATAATCTAAAACAAATTAATTAATATATAGCTAATATAAAAGTATGGTWAAAACAATATAGGGTTAAAATTAATATAGCATAATAAGATAGCATAATAAGATAGCATAATCTGTATTTCGTAAGGACGCAATAGATCAGTCAAAAGCTTCTTTGAAAAGATATGTTTTAACTAAAGATTTAAACTGTTTAACAGTCTTAGCATTTTTTATTATTTCTGGTAGGTTATTCCAGAGCTTAGGCGCAGCGATAGAGAATGCTCTATCGCCATAAGTAGATGTAAATGATTTAGGAACTATCAATAGCTTCTTAAAAGCAGAGCGTAAAGCGCGCTTAGGCGTATAAGATTCTAATAAACTGTTTAAATATGTTGGTGCATAACCGTTGATAATCTTAAAAGTAATTAGTAAGACCTTAAAAGTTATTCTTTGCTTAATAGGCAGCCAATGCAATTGGCGTATATATGTTGAAATATACTAGTCAAGTTATATTTAAATTAAGGATATTACCATTCATTAAAATGGGATGCACCTATATGTTACAAAGAAACTGTTACAAATACATCTTTATGCAGATTAGAACTTATATACTTATATTTAACAATAATTCGCCGAAGGCRAAGTGATTATCGGGGAATATTTACCGAGACGCGACAAATAGCAACAAATTGGCTGGCCGTCATTTTGGATTTTCGCTGGAGGTGATTATCGTGTGATAGTGTGAGTTTCTTGACCAATCAGTGCACGAGATTTTCTATAATCACCTGCTTATTTTTACTRAAAGTGGATATTTATGTAAAAATAATGGTATAATACACATAATGCTTGTTGTCTAGTTATCATACTTTGAGTAATTATATAAATATATATGTTTTAATCTGTATAAATATGTACCAGTAAACAAATAAAGTGGAATTTGCAAGATTCAGAAATGTGTTGGGAAACAATAGCTATGTATTYGTAACATATAGGTGCATCCCATGAGGGGCGTAAGTTAGATACAGTAACTCACTGGGTTAATATGTTACTAATAAGTTTATTGATTGATTGATTGTTATTTTACAAAATGGCCATGTCATTTTATTTTGTATATCTTTTCTATTTCCTATTAAAAAAAAGAAACAGAAAGGAAGAAAAGAAGAACCATTGATGAAGAAGCTGTGCAAGTTCCATTGACGCAGGGGTATGTTAGGTCATTCTTATTTTAGGTTACACAAGTTATATTTAAAAGGATAAATTTAAATTGTGGTTAATTTTTTTTGAAAACTAAATATATCAAAAGTATATTTTCTATTACAGCCACTTGCTAAAAAATATGGCTGCTTCATATATATCCCTATATATTAACAACAAAGAGCCTACAATAATCTTCAATTTAATTGCCTTAAAAATACTTATCACGATATTGATTTACGAAATAGACTAAATACTTTGTGCRTTCTGATTTTGTATTTTATTCAAAAATATACCCTTAAGTAAGTTTAGATCTAGTCCCTAGCTTTTAGTGTTTTTTTTTTTGCCATCAATGTTTTCTACATGGAGAGTGACAAACATTTTACTGGAGGTATTTTCTCACTGATTGATTTTTCATAAGTCTGCATCACAATGCATCATGGGAAATACATAAAAATTCAATGGATCGTGGTCAGCCTAATGTCTTTATATATTTTATATGTCTTGGGCCACTCAATCCTACTGCCAACGAATCAATGGCACAGCATTCTCCAGAAGCCAAATTTTCAAAAAAAGGCCCAAGCTGTCAATTTGTTTTCAAGATTACAGGATAATCATGCCAAAATTTATCATTTGTACTTGGTACCAGATGTACTTTGATGCTAAAATACCTTCTATACTCTCAGTTCTTTGAGATAATGCTGATTTAAGCTGTGATATTGCTTTATGATGCCCTCCAGGCTCACTCCATGGATAAAATCAGGTTCAAACATCAAGCAGCCATTCCTTTATCAAACAACTGCTCTTGCACTGGAAAATCATGCCACATATGTCAACATTAAATGGTAATGATAAGTATGCATTGAATAAGAGATAAAATGTTCTTAATCATTACAGATGGCGAAGACAAACACGCCTGCGCCCTTTTGCCCCTCAAGGTTCATTGCGTGCAGATGTCTATTACTTTGCTCCTTGTGGCAAGAAGCTTAGAACATATCCAGAAGTCTCTAGGGTAAGTATGTTTGTGATACCTATTAGTGTTGTTGGGTTCCCTGTGGTTTGTATTACCAGTATCCCCTGAACCCTCATTAATTTTGACATATTTGATGACAGACTCACTGCATAACCCAGTTAGAAARGACTTTCTATCAAAAGTGGTATCTCTTTTCTAATTGGGTACCCTTTGTGTAATGATGCATGGTTATATGAAAATAATGGTGTAACTAGAGGAAAGAATTTATTATCATTAGGCTTTAAATAATGTCCGAACATCAGAAAAAATCTGGCCAGAACTGGGATTTGTCTGGTCAAATCTTTGCCTCAATTGGTGGTGATTTTGACCAGTTAGGTTTAGTCAAAATTAAGGTATGACTAAGCTAAAACTGATTGGCCATTATTTTATGCCCTAATTGTCATATATTCATTTGTAAAATAAGATTATCATATATTCTCAAGTCTTGCTACTGGGTCTTAATAATGCTACAGGACCTTGTTTTTTTACATGTATTTTTCTATTACACTGTAGTACTTGGCAAAGAATGGTATCACCCATCTTGGAGTAGAGAACTTTAGTTTTAGTACCAAGCTTTTTATTGGAGAAATGCTTGAGTGTAAAGAGGTATGTACATTAATTATTATGTAACTACTATTTGATCACCTTATGAGATCTGTTTCTTTAAACTGTAATATAAATTTAGGCACTGCCTAAAAGTGAAGCTCACAATGGACACAGGGAACCCAGTTTAACTGAAATGTGAAAATATAATTGGGAAAAAAATCTTTAATCATTTGTGTAAAAATCAAGTTGAAATGCACTATATTGTTGCGTTTTTAAAGAACACAACCCACCACCAGCCACCCCAGGGGCTAGTTTTGTTATAACAATCTTCAACAAAGTTTTCCATGGCTGACATTTTTACGCTTTGAATTCCTGGTAAATTTACTTGAAAAACAAAAGATAAGTACAGATAATCCAGAGATTTCCAGGCTTGAAAACTGGTTAAAAAAGCCGATATTTGGTTTTTCATGGGAATTTTTATGTATTTATATTTCCCCCCCCTGATATTCGGATGGGAAGTATTATATTTTTGCAAATGTTTATAGGAGTCTGTGATGTCATACACTCAACACTAAACATCGCTCCATACATTTCTTTGTATTTTGTAATCAAAATAACTTCTAGTTTTATACTCAGTATTGGAGAAAAGATACCATAAAATGATTCTAACCACAAGTTGCGTATGTTAAGTTCCTCGGCAAACCTTCGGGCTTAATAGAATTAAAGTAAAACATGAAGTTATTTACAAAGAAATGTATGGAGCAATAATGTTTAGTGTTGAGTGTATGACGTCACAGACACCTATAGAAATTCGTAAAAATACTTCACAATAATAATCACATTGGATATAAAGAAAAAACTTTAACCAGTGATTATTTAACCCTTAAAGATTATTCCATTGAAGTTTCAGCTAAATTGAATTTCGGAAGATTTCCGTGCTAGTCCCCCTTTAACTTTTTAGTTATAAGCTGTAATGAATCAGTAATCAAATAAGCCTAGCATTTTCTCTGGATTATTATTGTGTTACTTTTTTCTCAAATGGTAATATTTGTTTGGCAGGGCACAAATGATTATGAGATGTTAGATCCAGAAGAAGTTGAGAGGAGGAGGACTGAGGCTGAAAAGAAGAAAAAAGTGAAAAGTGAAAGAGTTACAAAAAGAGCAGAGAAGAAAATTCTTCATTCAGGTGATCTTAATTGTGTGGTTCTGTGGTTACAATTTTTTTTTTTGTTACTTCTACAAGAAATTAGACCTTTTTACTGCTATTGCAGCCATCTTGAATTCTATTGTTTTAAGTAGGAGATTATGGGTTGCAGAGGGAAAAAATATTAGAAAATTTATTGACAGCACAGCTCTCAGGGTGTCTCTCTATATAGCTTTATGTTATCTAATATGAAACACCAATAAAATCAATTGAATTTGCTGATAGTTGGAGCAAAATGTCAAGCGCCAGAGCATAAAATCAATTTAAAAAAGTAACCTTGCCTGTCTGTTTTAGATATATTTCTCAATGGGCATTCCATCATTTAAAATGGCTGCCGTATCAGTAAAAAGGTCTATTATTATCTTATTGTAAGTTAAAAGTTTGTTTTTTAGAGGAAAGTGAGATTGATAGTGGCTTATTTGGGATGTAGCCAATAGGTTTTGTCACATAAGGCTCTTCTATATTGCTTTTAATTCAATAGTAAAGCTTTGTCTGTGTATACTAATTTTATTAGTTAAAGGAATGCAACCAAGCTGCTGATTAATCCTGGAGCAGGCAAGCCTGGTTTTTCTAAGATCCCAGTACCTATGAAACAATCAAAAACATATATTCATGGTTACTTGAGGAAAATGCCAGACCATTCAGGTGGCATCTTGGCAAAATGCCAACATAGTAGATTACTAGCAGTTATTATTAAGCATTTCATATAAATGCTTAAAGTGCTAGTCTTACGAAAATATTAATGATGCAAAAAAATCCCCAATTTCGTATATGTTCAAATAGGTTATAATGTTCACCAATAAACAATAATTGGTTCAAAAAAGAAATTTTTCCCATCTCAATTCTACTTCCGAAAATTGTTAAAAGCTCGTCCGCCATTTCTATGAGCAGTGATTTTGTCGTTGCATTTTAATATATGTGTGACGTCATATGCGCAACTGGCATCCTTTTTYYCCACACTGACTCTACAGCATTCTCTGTAAGAAGGCATGRCTTGGTTTAAGGGCGCTTGTTTTTAAATCAAAAATAGTCGAAATTTGGTTGCAATTACACATTGTGAAAAGCTGCGAATTTTGAAGGCTGGCGCATATGACGTCACTCCCTTCGAATCGCTAAAAGTTTCCAGGAATGCAATCACTTAATGGAGGACTCAAACAGCCAAACTTTACCGGCTAAATGCAACATCTTCCCAGTCTYGTATCGAAAAAGAATTTGGACAGTAAACTATATTACATACCCTCCTATATTACATATCTAGTTTTATATGGTACAATTTCCAGGGATGGTGTAATTTTCRTAAGACTAGSACTTTAAAGTGCCTATCACCCTTCTGACAATACTCAGTGTTGATTCTACATGGGGTAAGATGTGGAATAACCCAAAAATATTTCATAGTTTGAGTGCGGCTTCTTGAAGTTATCAAGGTTTTTCCATGCCATATGCTAATGTTGTGACGCATGATGAGGCATTTATAGTTATTTTTTGTTCCTCGTAACTGGAAACACCAGCTTCTATGTGAAAACAAACTTGCAATAATTTCGATAAGAGCAATGGGAAAAACAATGACACATTCCAAATTTTATTTATGTGTGCCAGTAATGTTTTGTATATTAAATGATTACTTCTCATACGTCACAGCACTAGCATATGGCATGGAAAAASCTTKATAACTTCAAGAAGCCGCACTCAAACTATGAAATATTTTCGGGTTATTCCACATCTTACMCCATGTAGAATCAATACTGTGAATATTGTCAGAAGGGTGATAGGCACTTTAATATAGAGAGTACCATGGTGTTGTGGCAATATGGTTAGGACTATGTGTTGATTTGGGTTGGCTAATTTTCTCATGTAACATAAGCCTGGGTGGGACAAGCCTTTAGGGGAGTCCTATTTGAGAACTTTCAAAACATTACAAGTATCTATCAATTCCGAATGGTATGAGATTTATTGTTTATGATACACTTGACAAAATTGAGCAACTTAATTGGGACTCTACAGAGTATAATTAACAATTTAATGGTAGTCTCCTCTTGTCCATTCAGAATCAAGTCATTTTGTTGAGTGTATTATAAATGATACCTGCATAGATTAGTATATAGCTAATCCTATATGGTGCTGAGTAGAATTAAGTTAATTAAGTTAATTTCACGAGTTTTTCTGAAGTTTTGTAATTTCAAAACAAGTGCAATTTCAAAACTTTCAAAACACAAGTGAAATTAATCCATTATTTTATGAGGAACCATACAATTAATATTGTTTATCATATACAGGGGAAAATTCCATGTCTTTTAAGAAACCAATATAATGCCCACGCACCTGCAATTGATCATCCTGAAATATCAAATCAAAGGCCTAGTCATGGTTAGAAAAATCATATTCAGAGTTCAAAAGGTTTTTTTATGACAGTGCTCTCTTCTATCAAAATGTACTGAATAATCCTAACAAGATATTAGTCAGAATCAGAATCAAAAGAGGCATTTTGACTGACTAAGACGACTGTGCTGAATTATTTTCAGCAAGACGTATTGCAGCTAGTGAAGTTGTACACATTTGGGGACTGCTTGAGTTGTCTTTTGGAGGCCCATCGATAGAAAACATTTATCCAGACACCTGTACTTTTTCTATAGTTATTAATTGTTTTGGTTTAAAATGGGAAGTTACTTTGACTTTCAAAAAACAAAAGGTTTATACTTTATAAGTATTGCTAGGAACTGAACCACCAATCATTTTTTAGTAATTAGGCATCAAATTTAACCAATATTAACCAATCAGCATCAAGTAATTTTGCCCTGTATATGATAAACAAGTCTTACAGTAACTCAGGGCAGTAATGTTAGGAAAATATTTGGTTCTATGCTGTTCCTGAACAAGGACTGGTTTAGAATGGAAGCTATTGGACATATTCCCTAATTAACTTTGTTTTTAAAATTAAACTGTAAATTGTGTTAATGGTCATCAAGGCTTCTATGATCATTGGTCATAGTTCAAAATTCAAGCATTGATTTATTAGGGGGAAAAAGGTAACAGACTGCTTTCCTTTGCTACAGGCAAATAACAAGATTTTGGTCAAATTACTCTCTGTCTGAGAATATTTAGAGTCTAAATCCTTCTATCATTACTTAACTTGGAAGAAGTGATTACTCACGCTGCTTTTGCCCTCTTTTGTATTTCTTTATTAAAGAAATGGTAAAGAAAGCACAAGAAAAAAAAATGCACATGAAGCTTGAAAAACAAATGGCCATGGAAGCAATGAAGGCAGGCAAAAGAGCAAGAAGTTAGTTTTTGTTTTCTTTTGTTCTTTTCTTTTTAGTTTACTTACTAATTAGAACACTATTGTCTTTCACTCTAAGCAAAAATAGGACACAACAATTGATAATACAAGTGTATGATGCTATATATAATTGTTCAATGACAGTTTTAGTAGCATTGTGCAAGCATTTTGATCAGAAAGGTGCAAACATTGTAAAACGTAACTATATTAGATATCTTAAGTGTTCCAGCAGCAGGTATGCACTGCAGCTCTATTTATATTTTAATATTCCCAATTATTCTTTGATGAAGCAAAGAGAATGAAAATAAMAATTTCAAAGTGTTAAAACTTTGAAATAGTAGTGCTACTATGATACTATGACTCCAATAGCTGTGATAATCTGTTAACCCCAGATATTATAAGCAAACTGTTCTGATATTTATTGCTAATTATTATATAATTTGCATATAGTTCAAATGTGATTTACTGGTAATCAATAGCAGATATTAAGACAACAAGCATTGTATTGACCCGATAGCCTCACTTGTATGATTTTCAAACAAAAGAATATCTCAATGGGGGATCAACTGTAACAACAGCTGTTAAGTTGGTCGTACTCCTTTCTGGTAAATAACTAGGAAATAAGTTATGTTTGATCAAGCACATRACATTTTTATTCCTTTTTGTAGTGGAAGCCAGACGAATGAAAAAGCTTGAACGCATGCAAGCAATCCAACAAGCAAGACAGGCCAAGAGAGATCAGTGTAAGACTTCTGATACTTTGTTATTTAATATTTTTAATATTTGTAAGCATTTCATTGAGCTCTGTCTTATAGCATGGTAAAAGTATTTTGAAAAGGAAGACATTGAGGTATTGCTTGCTATGGCATGATTCCTTAGAGTATATTGCAGCTATTGCAATATTTGATATTTTATGTCAGCAGAGATGTAATGACTGAGATCAACATCACTTACAGTTACCTCTAACATAYTAGCCCATCTTATTATGTTGTAAAAAATTCTTTTCAGTGCGCATGCGGCAAGAACAGAAGAGACAGGAAAAGGAAAATCAAAAACAACAGCGCCACTTGGTTAGTAGCACATGTTGTGCTTTTACAGTGTATATTGGTATTGTTGATGCCACAAGGATTTTTTAAACTATGMAAATAATTTACATAACTAGGCTCAAAATTTACTGATGAAACAGTGCAAACTGCGACCTGTTGAATCAAAAAATTTATTTGCCAGTAAAAAAATTACTTTATTGCAAGTTGATGCTTTATGGTTGATTATTAACTTGCAAACTTAGGAGAATTACTTGCATTCTGCTATTGGTTATATATTTTGAGTCTTTGAAAATTTTATTTTACACATTTAATATGAATTGGAAGTCAATATGCAGAATGTAATCCTTTAAATCTCACTGCATGAAATAATAATTATTATATGTATACAGTAGAACTTGTATGTGACATCAAAGTAGCTCAACTTGGAGGACAAAACAAAAGAATTTTAATCTCCTGAGAGTTGGAAACCTATTGTTATGTCCCCCAAATTGAGCTGCATTCTGATGTACTGCAAGGGGTCTTTATAATGTCTGTAATGAAATTATTGGTAGTTTTACTGGGGTAGTTTGTACTCTTGTTGTAATCCTCTTAACACAAACATTATTTGACAGGAAAAGCTAAGAAAACAGGAACAGATAAGACTGGAAAAAGAGCTTCGAGCTCACAAGGCACAAGAGGTATATGAATTGCTTTAAGATAGTTTACTAGCTAGTTCAAGACCAATAGTTTACTAGCATCAAGACCATAGATAGGAAAAATCTGAGAAAAAACATTTTTAAAGGGAAAGGGAGGGAGAGCTATGCCCTCTAYGTGTGCCGGTGGCTAGATAGGTTAGAATAATATTATTGGCAGTGTAGTTGTCAGTTATGTCTATAAACAGTTATGACATTGTTAGGAGCCAAGGATATAATTATTATGTAACTACATCACAAGTGTTGGTAACAATTAAGTCTGACAGTGCCAGGTTAAACATTCTTTTGTTTTTAAGTTTATTTACATGAGGCAAAGGGCTAATATCTTACCTTTTTACCAGACTCTGAGCAGTGGTTGCTAGGAAAATTTTCTGTCAATGAAATTTAACTCTGCTGTATGGCATAAATTGCAAACCTTTATTAAAAAATTCTGGGCTATACAGTGTGAGCTCTAAAAATGATGACCAAAATTTTTGCAAAACTCCTAATTACTAAAAAGTTGCAAGTGCATGTACAATTTTGCAATCAAATGTGAATGAATTTGTTTTCAATGTCTTCTATCTAGGCATGGATTTTTCACTATGTTAAGCCATTGGGGAAATAATTGAAATTAAAATTTTCAACAGGACTAGGTAGCCTAACATTTTCACCATTTAAAAGATGATGCTTTGTTACAAGGGATAAACTGATTAAATGCATGCTTGCAATATCTATTTTTTAATGAAATGTTGACGTCATAGATTAAGCATTGGTGATGACATCCTTGAACATGTTAAAGAAAAAAACTGTCACAATTTGTATGTTAAGTGTATGCACAATTTGGTTTTGTGTATGAGGTTAAAAAGAAAGACTTTTTGGACATTTAAATCCTTCCATAGCAACCGAGTCTAGTAGATAGGTAAGATCCTCTTTAAAACGATGGCCAGTCATTGGACAATGACCAGCTAGAAATCTCTAGTTAAGTCTTTGCCTTGCTAATCATTTTGACCAGTAACGTTGAGAAAACTAATTTTGAAGGTGTTCATGACTAGTGACTTACTGGCCATTATTTTAAACCCTGCATTACATTATCTGGCATTACATGGTGCAATTAGCATTGTTTTAGCATTGAATTAATGAGTTTCAAAGTATAACTCACTAATTTGTATGTAACATGTTTTTGATATTGTGTTTCGTTTCTATAGGCTCGACGTTCCAAGAAACAAACTGTTGCTAGTGCTAAATATGAGGAAGCCATGAAAAAGGCCAAGGTATTAGCACACAAAGCTACTAAACTGAAAGATAGATCTTATTTTATCCTAATACTGGATAATTTTTTGTATGCTTCCTTATATATGCTGTACATTGTAGCATTTATGTTTTTCTCATTTTTACTTTTTGTGTTTTAGGATAGGGAGCTCAAACGCATCCAAGCTGTACTCCTCAAACAACAGGTTTGCTTTATTTATTTACTATATTATTTTGACCAGTAAAAGATCCTTCTTGATATRTTTTGCCCATTATATCATGCATTACAAGGCTCTCTTTGGTTCTTGGAGCAACATTCCAAGGCAGGGATGGGGAGGTGTTGGAAAAGAGGTAGCTCTCTCTTCTTTTTCTATTTTGTAAGTCATGGACAACCGACAGAGATTAAGTGTTAAGGACGATCATGGGCATTATTGTTTGCTTGCATCCTTTCTATGCACGAATTTAGGGAACGTACGCTCATCCTGATGATTTCATTCCAATGTTTTGACAAATTTCACAAAAGCTAGTCTTAATGGGAGTCAGGTTGAAATTTTAGTATTCTGACCAGCCCCATCCCTGGTAAACCACCAGGCACTCATAAAAGKGAGGGGATAATATTTTTACAAGGTGTTTCAACCTTTAATAACATTACAGGATAAGGAGCAAAAGAGACAACAGCAGATGATGATAAGAGCATTGGAGATCCAAAGAAAAACTGAAGAACGTGAAAGGCAAAAAGAAGAGAAAAGAATGGAGAAAAAACTTATCAAAGRAAGAAAACTGGAACAGAAGAGAAGGGAGATGATTCTGGCTCGTGAGCTGAAAAAACCTGTTGAGGATATGGTCTTAAGAGATGCTAAGGTATGTGATACCAATTTGCAGTTATTATTTTTCTAAATCTAAAGTAAATTGAGTTATGAGGTGAGCTAAGATGAGGTAATGTATTATGTATGCTCCTGTCCTGAAAACTGCCTGCCTGCCTGCCTGCCTGCCTGCCTGCCTGCCTGCCTGCCTGCCTGCCTGCCTGCCTGCCTGCCTGCCTGTTTGTCTGTCTGGGAATAAATACAGATGCTTTTGCTGTCGTTGTTATTGTTTGCTCATTTATTCACTAAATTGCATATAAAGTTAAAGAAGGCCAGAAATATTTAAAGAGAAAATAGAAGCTTGCTATCTTGGTGTTAAACATTTTGTTCTCACTTTACAGGAGTTACCTACTCTTCCTCGCCTTGAGGAGTGTGTCCTACCTGGCAAAGCTTTTGCAGATCTTCTTATGGTCAAAGAATTTGTAGAAAACTTTGGAGAAGCCTTAGATATTGGCAAGTTATAAATAAAGTGTATTTTGATCTATGGAAATATCACTTTTTCTTGGCCTTTGCCAAATGCAACTGTTCTCAACTGTACTGCAATTCAATTTTCATTTTTATTATTGAACTTTTTTTTCAGATGTGTCAACAGAATTACCAAGTGTAAAGGATATGCAGCTATGTTTATTGAATGAAGGAGAGGAGGTTCTTTTACCTCTTTGCCAATCTTTACTTTCTCAGGCTCTTGAGGATCCTGGCTATGATGGGCCATATGTATGTATAAGCTTTAATACTTTAATGTTTATGTCATTTATGTAGCAGCATATCAACTTATAATGTTTTTTTTCAACTGATTTCCACAGTCTGTGACCTTACTTGGACAGCATCTGCACAAAGTAGATCTCARTGAGAATAACCTGTCAGAAATTTTAAGGCTTTTTATCCTGTGTAGAAGTGATGGAGAACATGAAGTGAGTACTGCATCCGGGATAAATAGATTCTAATATATTTACCACTCCTGGGTGGATGGCTTAATGCCTAACAGTTTTCACAACCCAATTGATAAGGCAGCTGATTGGTYGAATTATAATTTAGAAGTTGATTTTAGTTGAGGKAGGAAAAACCAGAGAACCTGTAAAAACCCTCAAAGTTTAGGAGAGAACTAATAAACTTATGACACTGAGCCCGACAGGGCTATATCCCAGGTCACATTGTTGAGAGGCGGCACATTAGCATCCCACACCACCCATGCTTCCCCATATAAGATTACACTGTCTTGTATGACTGTTAAATGTTTTGAACATGGAAATAATATTCTTTCAAACATTGACAGCTTTTCTGTTTGTATCCTCATAATGCACTTGACAAAATTACTTGATTCTGATTGGACAATCCCATATYGTATTCTATAGAATCCCAATGAAGTTGCTCAATTTCRTTGAGTATATTATAAACAAAAAATTGCACAATCTTCTYGTACAATTCGGAATTTATAGATAYTYGTGATGTTTTGGAAGTYCTCAAATTTTGAAAACTTTCAAAACATCAATTGAACCTATAAATTCCGAATTGTACTCGAGATCATGTGATTTCCTATACAAAYAGTTAATTATGATTTTGAATTACACCCACTTAGTTAAATGAGGGAATAAGGCTTGCCTTTCTTTATCCTGTTACAACTGTACCCTACCTATGAGGAAATGATGAACCAGGACATAGCCCAGACTTATTTGATTTGTTTTCTATTKTTGCAGTTGGCAGATTCTCTTTTAAGCCAACCATTTCAGTCTTTGTCTGCCATCCAGAAGAGTGCTGTGCTAGCATTCCTGTGTAATGAGCTTCTTTGTAGTCGAGTTATCTGTGGGTTAGTACACTATTTTCTTTCTTTCTTTCTTTTTATTTTTTGGAGTTGAATAGAATGAAGTTTTTAAAGTGCAAATGAACCCCTTGACAATACATTCAGTACTGGTTTTGCATAAAGTAAATAGTTGATTGGTAAAATATTTTTGGATTTGAGTGATGCGTCTCTAACTTATGAAGGTTTATACTTCCAATATGTTAATGATGATGACGTCAGGTAAGGTATTTGAGTGTTTTTGTTGWAACTAGTAATACTAAATGCTGGCCATMKTGAAAACACAAATTTRAAATAGCTTTCATGTAAACCATGAGTAAAATTATGATGCTTTTTAAATACTGTTTCTATGAACCAGTTCGATTTTGTATATTTAATTAAGCYTTAATAGACGTCACACTCATTAGCATATTGGAAGTATAAACCTTCATAAGTTAGAAATGCATCACTCAAATYAAGAAATATTTTACCATTCAACTATTTACTTTATGTAGAATCAGTACTGAAAGTATTGTCGAAGGGTTCATTTGCACTTTAAGTCGGCTGGAAGGATTCATTAGATAATGAATGCCTGTTTGTCCTTTGGGAAAAGTAGGACTACAGATTACTTGCCCAAAGGTGGTCACTAAACAGCAAACCTACTGCCTAACAGTGTTTGAAATAAACTTATCATACAAATGATTTGTGTTTCAGTGAAATTGATAACAGTATTGAAAGCATGTCAAGTCTAAGGAAGGACAAGTGGGTGATTGAAGGAAGGATCAGAAAGTAAGTACACTAGCTAAGTTCAACAGTTAACACCCTGTAGAGCAAGGGACAAGGTGTCTGAAATGGCTTGATGTTTTTAATAGTACTTATCCCTAAAAGATTTTGATATTTTTGTTAAAGAAGTCTTTACCAATCTCAGATTCCTAAAACACTACATACCAATGCTGTAAAGCCCCCTGTTTGTACATGGAGAGATTTCTTGAATACTTTAAGGATATGTTTAGCTTGTTGAGCTTTATTTTACTATTTGTTGTTCTGATTTCCAGGCTGAAAGCCATTCAAGCAGAAAARTACCCAGTGGTAAAGATCAAAAAGCCCCCAGGACGACCAAGAGCTGATGCTGCATCCACAGAAACAGAGAACAGCAAGGATGCTGCATCGATAGCTGGTGAAAGCAACCAGGGAAATGATGATGAGGAAGATGAAGATGATGATGATGATGATGAKGATGAGGATGATGATGAAGAYGATGAGGATGGTGAAGGTGGTGAAAATGGTACTGAAGGCAGTGATGAATCTGATGAAGAACAGGTATTTAATGTATTCTTGTAGTAACTGACAAGTAACTGATACATAATATATATTTGGGTACTTGGTAAGCTGCACTACACAGCACACCAATTTCTGTCTTGTAAAAGGTCTATTGTGGCTTACTGATAATTAATTTGTCAATGATTGGTTTGAACAGGATGACACTGAACCCCAAAATCAAGAAGAGCTCGAAAGAAGACTGAAAAAGCTTGAGAAGGTAAGGGCTGCCAAACATCGAACTGTAAACAATGCTACTAAAACACCAAAGAAAGCTGGTGGATAGAGTAGGGATGGTTTTCTCTTAAAGATGTTTTGTGAATGACCAAGATTCTTACACTATTGGTGATAAGCATACCTTCACATGAAAAAGGACAAGAGACGTGGCMATCATATTGATTGACTTGACACAAGACACCAAGACCAAAGTCCTTTTGTCAAAGTCAACCATATTAATGGCTGCTTTGACATCATATGAAACCCCAAGAATTTCTAGTATTCTACTACAGAAACCATCAAGCCATGATTTCATTAG